GAGAGTTAGTACAGAGTGAGAGACATGGATTAACGACAGGAGAGTTAGTACAGAGTGAGAGACATGGATTAACGACAGGAGAGTTAGTACAGAGTGAGAGACATGGATTAACGACAGGAGAGTTAGTACAGAGTGAGAGACATGGATTAACGACAGGAGAGTTAGTACAGAGTGAGAGACATGGATTAACGACAGGAGAGTTAGTACAGAGTGAGAGACATGGATTAACGACAGGAGAGTTAGTACAGAGTGAGAGACATGGATTAACGACAGGAGAGTTAGTACAGAGTGAGAGACATGGATTAACGACAGGAGAGTTAGTACAGAGTGAGAGACATGGATTAACGACAGGAGAGTTAGTACAGAGTGAGAGACATGGATTAACGACAGGAGAGTTAGTACAGAGTGAGAGACATGGATTAACGACAGGAGAGTTAGTACAGAGTGAGAGACATGGATTAACGACAGGAGAGTTAGTACAGAGTGAGAGACATGGATTAACGACAGGAGAGTTAGTACAGAGTGAGAGACATGGATTAACGACAGGAGAGTTAGTACAGAGTGAGAGACATGGATTAACGACAGGAGAGTTAGTACAGAGTGAGAGACATGGATTAACGACAGGAGAGTTAGTACAGAGTGAGAGACATGGATTAACGACAGGAGAGTTAGTACAGAGTGAGAGACATGGATTAACGACAGGAGAGTTAGTACAGAGTGAGAGACATGGATTAACGACAGGAGAGTAAGTACAGAGTGAGAGACATGGATTAACGACAGGAGAGTTAGTACAGAGTGAGAGACATGGATTAACGACAGGAGAGTTAGTACAGAGTGAGAGACATGGATTAACGACAGGAGAGTTAGTACAGAGTGAGAGACATGGATTAACGACAGGAGAGTTAGTACAGAGTGAGAGACATGGATTAACGACAGGAGAGTTAGTACAGAGTGAGAGACATGGATTAACGACAGGAGAGTTAGTACAGAGTGAGAGACATGGATTAACGACAGGAGAGTTAGTACAGAGTGAGAGACATGGATTAACGACAGGAGAGTTAGTACAGAGTGAGAGACATGGATTAACGACAGGAGAGTTAGTACAGAGTGAGAGACATGGATTAACGACAGGAGAGTAAGTACAGAGTGAGAGACATGGATTAACGACAGGAGAGTAAGTATATGGTGAGAGACATGGATTAACGACAGGAGAGTAAGCACAGGGTGAGAGAGATGGATTAACGACAGGAGAGTTAGTACAGGGTGAGAGACATGGATTAACGACAGGATAGTAAGTACAGGGTGAGAGAGATGGATTAACGACAGGAGAGTTAGTACAGGGGGAAAGACATGGATTAACGACAGGAGAGTAAGTACAGAGTGAGAGACATGAATTAACGACAGGAGAGTTAGTACAGAGTCAGAGACATGGATTAACGACAGGAGAGTTAGTACAGGGGGAAAGACATGGATTAACGACAGGAGAGTAAGTACAGGGGGAGAGACATGGATTAACGACAGGAGAGTAAGTACAGAGTGAGAGACATGAATTAACGACAGGAGAGTAAGTACAGGGTGAGAGAGATGGATTTACGACAGGAGAGTTAGTACAGAGTGAGAGACATGGATTAACGACAGGAGAGTTAGTACAGAGTGAGAGACATGGATTAACGACAGGAGAGTTAGTACATAGTGAGCGACATGGATTAACGACAGGAAAGTTAGTACAGAGTGAGAGACATGGATTAACGACAGGAGAGTTAGTACAGAGTGAGAGACATGGATTAACGACAGGAGAGTTAGTACAGAGTGAGAGACATGGATTAACGACAGGAGAGTTAGTACAGAGTGAGAGACATGGATTAACGACAGGAGAGTTAGTACAGAGTGAGAGACATGGATTAACGACAGGAGAGTTAGTACAGAGTGAGAGACATGGATTAACGACAGGAGAGTTAGTACAGAGTGAGAGACATGGATTAACGACAGGAGAGTTAGTACAGAGTGAGAGACATGGATTAACGACAGGAGAGTTAGTACAGAGTGAGAGACATGGATTAACGACAGGAGAGTTAGTACAGAGTGAGAGACATGGATTAACGACAGGAGAGTTAGTACAGAGTGAGAGACATGGATTAACGACAGGAGAGTTAGTACAGAGTGAGAGACATGGATTAACGACAGGAGAGTTAGTACAGAGTGAGAGACATGGATTAACGACAGGAGAGTTAGTACAGAGTGAGAGACATGGATTAACGACAGGAGAGTTAGTACAGAGTGAGAGACATGGATTAACGACAGGAGAGTTAGTACAGAGTGAGAGACATGGATTAACGACAGGAGAGTTAGTACAGAGTGAGAGACATGGATTAACGACAGGAGAGTTAGTACAGAGTGAGAGACATGGATTAACGACAGGAGAGTTAGTACAGAGTGAGAGACATGGATTAACGACAGGAGAGTTAGTACAGAGTGAGAGACATGGATTAACGACAGGAGAGTTAGTACAGAGTGAGAGACATGGATTAACGACAGGAGAGTTAGTACAGAGTGAGAGACATGGATTAACGACAGGAGAGTTAGTACAGAGTGAGAGACATGGATTAACGACAGGAGAGTAAGTACAGAGTGAGAGACATGGATTAACGACAGGAGAGTTAGTACAGGGTGAGAGACATGGATTAACGACAGTAGAGTAAGTACAGGGTGAGAGAGATGGATTAACGACAGGAGAGTAAGTACAGAGTGAGAGACATGGATTAACGACAGGAGAGTTAGTACAGGGTGAGAGAGATGGATTAACGACAGTAGAGTAAGTACAGGGAGAGAGAGATGGATTAACGACAGGAGGGTAAGTACAGAGTGAGAGACATGGATTAACGACAGGAGAGTTAGTACAGGGTGAGAGAGATGGATTAACGACAGGAGAGTAAGTCCAGAGTGAGAAATGAATGGGCAGTAGCGGTTGCAGATAGTATAGGGAAAACATCACCAAGAAGGCAGAAAGTGAAACAAAGCATAGATTTCAAGTTATGTAAAAAAACACTAAAAAAAGAACTACAAAAACAGTGCTAATAAATGGTCGAAACAAATGCAACCTCCTTCCTGACCATTAAATCACAATAACATTTAGCCAGACGATTTAGCAATGAATCATAGTGATACAGTTACTATAGTTGTGGAGAAGGGTGATATGGTGGTGGAGCACGGTGATATAGTTGTGTAGAAGGGTGATATGGTGGTGTAGCACGGTGATATAGTTGTGTAGAAGGGTGATATGGTGTTGTAGCAAGGTGATATAGTTGTGTAGAAGGGTGATATGGTGGTGTAGCACGGTGATATAATTGTGGAGAAGGGCGATATGGTGGTGGAGCACGGTGATATAGTTGTGTAGAAGGGTGATATGGTGGTGTAGCACGGTGATATAATTGTGGAGAAGGGCGATATGGTGGTGGAGCACGGTGATATAGTTGTGGAGAAGGGTGATATGGTGGTGGAGCATGGTGATGTAGTTGTGGAGAAGGGTGATATGGTAGTGAAGCACAACGGTATGGTGGTGTAGCACAGTGATATGGTGGTGTATAAGGGTGATTTGGTGGAGGAGCATGGTGATATGGTGGTGAAGCACAGTGATATGGTGGTGTAGCACGGTGATATTGTGGTGGAGAAGGGTAATATGGTGGTGGAGCACGGTGATATGGTGATGTAGCATGGAGATATGGTTGTGTAGCACGATGATATGGTGGTGTATAAGGGTGATATAGTTGTGAAGAAGGGGGATATGGTGGTGTAGCATGGTGATATGGTGGTGTAGCACGGTAATACAGTTAAGGAGAAGGGTGATATAGTGGTGTAGCACGGTGATATGGTGGTGGAGAAGGGTAATATGGTGGTGTAGCATGGTGATATGGTGATGTAGCACGATGATACAGTAAAGGAGCACGGTGATATGGTGGTGTAGCATGGTGATATGGTTATGGAGAAGGGTGATATGGTGGTGTGGCACGGTGATATGGTGGTGGAGAAGGGTGATATGGTGGTGTAGCACGGTGATATAGTTGTGGAGAAGGGTGATATGGTGGTGTAGCACGGTGATATGGTGGTGTAGAAGGGTGATATGGTGGTGGAGAAGGGTGATATGGTGGTGTAGCACGGTGATATGGTGGTGGAGAAGGGTGATATGGTGGTGTAATACGGTGATATGGTGTGGAGAAGGGTGATATGGTGTTGTAGCACGGTGATATAGATGTGGAGAAGGGTGATATGGTGGCGTAGCACGGTGATGTAGATGTGGAGAAGGGTGATATGGTGGTGTAGCACGGTGATATAGTGGTGGAGAAGGGTGATATGGTGGTGGAGAAGGGAGATATGGTGGTGTAGCACGGTGGTATAGCTGTGGAGAAGGGTGATATGGTGTTGTAGCACGGTGATATAGTTGTGGAGAAGGGTGATATGGTGGTGGAGCACGGCGATATAGTTGTGGAGAAGGGTGATGTGGTGGTGGAGCACGGTGATATAGTTGTGGAGAAGGGTGATATGGTGATGCGTAGCACGGTGATATAGATATGGAGAAGGGTGATGTGGTGATGTAGCACGGTGATATAGACGTGTAGAAGGGTGATATGGTGGTAGAGCACGGTGATATAGCTATTGAGCACGGCGATATAGTTAATGAAGCTTAGTGGTGATATGATTGTGCTCATAGATTTTCAGTCAGTTGGAGTGACCGAATTCCTCGCTCTTATTTAACTTGATAGCTATATCTAGCTCTAGAGTATATATGCAGTTCTTAACAAACCTGTAGTAAGATTACACTTATGAGTTTACAGTATCATAATGATAAAAGAACGGTTGCACAGCAGGTGAAAGGGGCAGCTAGTAAACTAGCTACGTCAGAGAAATACTTTTACACATGAATAATATTCAAATGGCGTCAGTGTAATAAGATATGGGACCTCCTTTTCCTAGTTCTGTAAATAAGCCTTAATCTATAAAGAGAAAGTTCTTGTAGTCTACGGGCAGTTTAATGTAACGATGGGCTACGATCCGTTATGTACTCATACGTTGTTTCTCTTTATATTGGCAATACCGATCTAGATTATTAAGCACACGCCGGTGAGTAGCTCATAAACAAGTAACAGGGATTTCGGTCAAACTACGCGGACTACTGGTCAAACATAACAGGTAGGTCATATTTTAATTAACAGACAAAGACAGATATGTAACGCTAACAAGTTTTAACTGTCTCTATATAAAATTACTTCTTACTTTAATACTATCTAACCAATGCGGCTGACTGCCTCACAGGGACTTGAGAATTTGTTATGTACAGCTATATCTGGACCTAGACTGAGGTGTTTCGAGTAATCTTCTGTTTTAGCACGGACTTAGATAATCTAATTCCGTGGTTTTAGGAGTTTATATCAACGTATATATATCATCATTGGGGTGACATGTATACCGGATGTTGATATAGCCGGACCCCTAAACCGTGTAAAATTACCCTGAAAACCTTAGTTTAGGTCCAAATATAGCAGTAACAAAGTATCAGGTCCCTATGGACTGCCTCACTCATGGTAACACTTTAAAAATACGACGGCATATAAGGTCCTAGATACTATAGGCCTACCCTATAACTTATGGTCTATGGTCTGTTGTACCGGCAGAGATAGTGATAACTAGATATAAATTAAGAAAGGGAGCATATCATATAGTTGATGTTTACATACCGGAATAGTCTGTCAGAGCATGCTAACGTTATACGTACCGCAGTCACCGGCTAATGATGAATTAATGTTATCTAATTACGAAATTGCATGTAGGCCTAACTACGTTTCGTAATTTTTCCTAAATTCGATGTAGTCAGCCGCAGCCTATCTAAAGACCTGTTATAAAGACATTTAAACATTTTCTAGGAATGGTCCTAGATTTCCAAATTAGCTATTCTCCTCCATAAAGTAGGCGGCTACAATCTTAAAATTAGACATATCGTCATATGATCAGTGCTTCAGTGATAAATTACATGCTTGAACTTGCCCGCAGTGACTTTTTTTATGTATTTCATCCATGATATTTAACAAATCTGTAAATGTGTTACACCCTATCTCCCATTTTAATAATATTTGTGAAGTTTGTGCAGTGCGTGTAGTTAGCACGCCTACTTTTGAATATTTCGCAACTGAAAGTTTTTTTGGAACGGTTTGCAGTTCATCCCTTTCCGCTTGGTGGCGCTAACGTTCAGTAAGTAGGAAAAAATGGCGGAGAAAGAAGCGTCTGCTGCTAGGAAAGAACCGATAACGCCGGTAGCTCGGCCCAGAGTGAGAGGTCTTGACCTGCTACGGGACCCTCTTCTGAATAAGGTATGGAGATTTCTTATATGATCATTATTTTTTGTAAAACTAGCGTTGAATATTGCAAATGTCATTTTCTAGAACGCAACGAAATAACGAAATGTCATCTGTTGAACTCGTCAAACTGACTGTGCGCTGTGCTGTCTCCTTCGTCCTGTACCTGGTGTACGGCGTGCATGTGTAATACTCGCTTGAGTGATTATGTTGTTATCAATTTTCCGCGTTGTTACAATTCATTTGAATGTTTTGTGTAATGATCACTACCTTTTAGCCACATGGCATGACTTGACATTATTGGATGGAGTCGTAGGCTAGTAACTCGGCAACGTCAGCGGATCATACGACACTGACACACAACCCAACTAACATAGTTCTCACTGATAAACATTATCTCACAAGGCCGTCACTCTATTTCGGTAATAAGCCCAAGGACGGTAGGACTGACTGATAATAAACGATGATATTATACGGTCACGAATACTATTTTAGTATTTAAATACAATTTGTAATACAATTTACAAATAATAAATTAACAGCAATTACTTGTCAAATGTGCAGAATGAGCTGAGTTCAAAAATCATGAACACGAAAAAAATCACTCCTCCATGTATCATCTGCAGGGATTAGCACTGATGCAAAAAAAATATACATATAAACGGTAAAAATAGTAAAAAGAAATATATATTCACTTTAACAGATAACCTACTTGTTCTGTGTTTACAAACTAAGTTTTTATCAGTGATATACATGTACCATCTGTTTTGACTATGAGATACCCATTATGATTGATTGTAACTGTAGATAATATTTTATTGCTATCATAATACATAATAGAACATTAAATACCAGGAATACGTTTGTGCATGTTTCCCGAACTGTGCATTGATTTTTGTAAGCATGTATTAAACATTAAATTTGATGCAGAAAGTTATCAATGCTTTCACTTAAGACTTCCCTGAGTTCAGAAATATGTGTATAATTATTTTACATCCTGTTTTCTAGTGTGATGCACCTCTGCATCGGCAGTCATGTCAATAAGCACATCATAGTTCAAGCATTAATAGGCTCCAGAACCTCCTGGTTGATCCCTGTGGTCTCATATTTTGATAGTTTGTAAAAGTTTGTGATATCAAAAAGAACAAATAGATAGAGTAAACATAGAACACATCTACTCTATACCTTGAATACATCAGAAAAAATCCAATACTGGCCAGTCCCATCATCGGGTGGATGATGTCCTTCTTTAGATGTCCATCGTTAGACGTTTTGGCGCTTATCGGAAGTTAACCACAAAGTCTTCCAGAGTTGTGCCTACTGGGTTGATCAGACCCAGCCAGGGACTGGTTGGCTCTTGCTGCTGCTGGTTGGAATTGCCATGGACATACTCAAGTCCTTAAAAATGGTAGTTAAAATTTCCTGCTTAATGTTCAGCATTTAGGTAATGGCAAACACTGGTTCACCCGTTGTAAGTATAATATGACCTGGCGAAATGCTGTGCTGGGTGCCTTTGACATGGTATTTCAGTGAGATAGCACTATAAAGTCAGCATCAGATCCGCGCTATCACAAGAAGGCAATCACGCCAACATACCCTGTCTCCTGCATACACACACGCAAGCACACACATACACTACACACATGGAGGCACGTCCTTAAATGACCTTAGCTGTTAATAGGACGTTAAACCAAACCAAACGAATGCTGCCATGTTGTTGCTGTAGCCTCCTGCATCATCAATCAAGTCTTTTGATGTCCTATGTTATGGCACTGTGGGACTAGCACTGTTGTTGGTGTCCACCCCACAGCTCTTCTCTCTTCCTCCATATCCAGTTGGATGCCATCTCTGTCTGTTTGCTCACAGCACCCACCAGCTTCTTCCACTCTATCCCTAGCATCCCCAGCAACCTCAAAGTCCTTTATAGAGATTGGTCAGGGAAACCCCTGCAACCAACCTCTACTGGGTGGCACCATACCATAGCCAATTTCCCTGTTTGCTCATGCCAACGGCCCGTACCTGCCTGGTGTCTTCTTCCATCGTTCTGACCTCTGTTTGTGTCATCTCTCTGCGCTGCCTTTGGCTAGCCCTTCCCCAATTAGATCGGGAGATTGTTCCTAGCTCAATGCGCCCTGCTGCAACTGTTCCAATGATGTCATTGTGCCTCAGTCTTTCTTCTGCCTTCTTCACTGCCTATTTGTGTCCCACTTCCAGTCCGTGCATGTTACTACCCGTGCTCCCCTGACTTTGTCATCTTTGCTGTCCCTGCAACACGATCACCTGCCGCACTTGTCAGAATACAACAAACACATCTGTATGTTTGCCTGCTTAGCCTGTCGCATGCAGTAGACATAGTTTAATGAGCGCAACATTAGCATATTATAATCAACCACACGCCCTTAACACAATATACTCACATCTTTACTCCTCACTATCCTTCTCATACTTTAAAAAGTCCTACATCTTTACTCCTCGCTATCCTTCTCATACTTTATAAAGTCCTATACGTACATAGCAGTTATAAATTTAAAAAAAAACCAGTTCTCTGAAAAGAAACCAAGCGGGCCAGCCAACCTAAAAAACCCTGGGACAACAGGAACTTTTAGACACTTTGGACCACTTGGTAACAGTGCATTTGACGCAAGTACATTAAGCTTTTGCCCTCATCAGTGCTGACTTTTCTTGTCCTGCACTTGCACTATTCTTTATGATGATATGATGACTGACTTCATCAGCTTGCATACAATTTGTTGAGCTCTGTGTGTCATGCTAAGTTTACTGGTATTCAATCCTTTCTATAATCATAGTTAAAGGTACTTTACAATGATAAAATAATAATACAACTTAAGTATAAACATCAAGGCTTTATTTTCAGGGCCTGGCATTCACCTTGGAAGAGAGACAAATCCTTGGAGTTCATGGTCTGATGCCTCCTGCCCAATTAAACCAAGAACAGCAGGTTTATGCTGTGATGGAGAATTTCCATCGCTGGCAGAATGACCTTGATCGCTACATCTACCTTATGGCTCTCCAGGACAGAAATGAAAAGCTTTTTTATAAAGTGGTCTCTGAAAATGTAGAACTGATGATGCCAGTCATTTATACCCCAACTGTGGGTCTTGCCTGTCTCAAGTATGGACTCATCTACAGAAAACCCAGGTATTAAACATGTACAGCAAATATGTATATATACAATTGATTGATGGCAACATAATGTGTCAAAACTGACCCAGAGCTATATCTTTGACAGTCATGGTGATGACTGTACTGTGTATTGTTGTAGAGTAACCTCACTTACCTTCTGCTGTTAAGAAATTACTACATATATGGCAAAGGTCAAGCATCCTGCATTCAATTATATCTTAATTGATTTTGAAGTTTGCATTTATTGTCAGAAGAGGTTTTGTAACATGGGTTTACAGTCATATACAATGTGAATGTGATTACTGTAGTGAATACATTTACAGTTCTGAACTGTATACTACATAATGTATCTACTTATATACCATTCAGATGTACAGCATCAGAGTTGTGGTGTTAACTCTGTAGTCATTCATGGATTAGTTTGAGATATTTAAGAATATATTTACTTTCCTTGATTGTGGAAAATTTGAAGATGCATCTCATTGTAGAATGTAGCATTTCCTGTATTCTTTTTGTTGTACAGACTCTTAGGAAAATTGAGAAATGAAGGTAAAAATGTATGGTCTATTAGTAAAAAAAAAGATCATTTGAAAAAACACAATTTGGTATGGGGCCAGATTTCATTATCACATTTAAGACTAAGGACTGTATGGACATGTAGTGAGACAGATTTAGACATCATTATAAGACTGAGGACTGTATGGACATGTAGTGAGACAGATTTAGACATCATTATAAGACTGAGGACTGTATGGACATGTAGTGAGACAGATCTAGACATCATTATAAGACTGAGGACTAGAGACAGTGAGTGAGAAAGATTTTCATCATTGTAAGACTGAGGACTAAAGTCATGTAGTAGGACACTAGGACAGAGCCTTAATCATAAGACTGAGGACTAAAGTCATGTAGTAGGACATATTTAATTGTAAGATTCAGGACTAAAGTCACGTAGTAGGACAGAGACTTAATCATGAGATTGGGACTATAAAGACATTTATTGAGACCTACTTTAGTTTGATTCAGTGATTGTAAGATTTGCTATGAGTCCTTACAACCAGACTTCATAATCATTGTAAATTGAAATGTTGTGAGACAGATCTGGACTTCATGGGTTTTTATTTGTACAATACCATAATTAACAAGCCCAGCTGGTGTACAACCAGACTGAATCAACAATTAGTTGAATACTGTATTGATTAAGGAGAATGTTGAAGGCTGTTCTGGTAATATCCTGTTCAATCAATTGTGTTGCTCTATGTGAAATTTAGCTAAGACTGTACACACAGTAATGAAAACCAATGTAATACTTTGTTCTTATGACCAGCTACAACTTCCGGTGATATTACAGTGTATTGTTTTGTCTGAACTTAAGTATATTCCAGTTAGTTGCTTCAAAATTTGAGAAAGACCCATTTAATTACTATACAGTTTAACATGTATTCTTGTACAGTCAAGTCTCCTTAATCTAGTCACTACTAATCTGGTTGGCCCACTACGTATACTGAGTCAGTATTTTGGGAGACATATTTTTAGCCTTTTATACAAAATTGTTCCATTAAAACAACAATTTCACTATTGAAACATATTTCAGAGGGAATGCAGTTATATTATCAAGGTTTGTGTGTGTAAGTTGGTCCTGTAAACATACAAATTGATCATATACTTGCATCAAAAAGTGATATTTGTGTTGTAATTTGTTTTTTAGAGGTCTGTACATCACAATCAAAGACAAGGGCCATGTGTCGGATGTCCTCAGCAACTGGGTGATCGACGAAGTGAAGGTAACCAATTCTACTTATTAAAATGACAAAAAGAAGATATAGTGCTATCACTAAATTATGTTTAAAGTATCGTAAAGTAAAGTAACTTAATTGAGGTCTCAGTATTATAGTTAAGATGGCTATTGTCTTTCAAGGCTTCCTGCTATAGTTACTGTTTAAATAAATGTAGTAATAAAGACTGGGCCAATACAGATCAAAATTAATGACCTCAGTGTTTGTAGAGGCGATATTGGCCCATACAAATCAATGTCAATGGCCCAGATATTTGACCAGTAGCTTGTTAGGCTACCAAGTTTGTTCAAAGGAATGACCTTTACTAATTTTTATAGTCACTGGGGTGACATGTTTGAAAACCTTTTAACCGGTACTTCTGACCACCAAGAGTCTTAGGTCATGATCTTTGTCTCCTAATTAAATTTAAATAGTTTTAATACTTGTCTGTTTTTGTAAGATTACTTGTGTGAGATTAATACCAGGTGAGTGATAAAGACCCATTGGCATTGGCCCTTTTTTCTATAATAAGCGACATGTATATTTAATTTTTGTTATTCAGAAAGATTTTAGTATTACAATGTTATGTGAAAAAGTAAATTCAAATCTTATTGCAATAAAAGAGAATCACATTTACTGCAGACAGTAACATGTCTCTAATTTCAAAACAGTGCCATCAATAGCAGGTGATATTGAAAATGATATCTTGCCAACTGAATTTTGTTATACCTAATTGACAATGCCCGGCCACTGAACAGTTGTAAATACTTATTATTAAGCTCCTATATGACTATTACAAAGTGTCTGTGTGTGACTGCAGGCTATCGTGGTGACGGATGGTGAGAGGATCCTGGGATTGGGAGACTTAGGATGTTATGGGATGGGAATCCCTGTGGGAAAACTATCCCTGTACACTGGGCTGGCTGGCATCAAACCCCACCAGTGTCTCCCCATCATGTTGGATGTCGGCACCAACAACGAGGTAACACTGTCAGGATCTGTGAAATTTCTCTGACCTTTCACCAGGAGATTACTTTTAAAAATAATATGTCTGTGAGGTAGATATCCACTCAAAAAACTTTGAGGGTCAGTGGGAAAAATGGAAGCTACAAATTGGAATTGAAGCATTATCAACTTATTTCTTAGGCCTTAAGTAAGTTATTATTTAATGATAAATGTGGAACATTAACTGTTAATGGGCAATAAGAAGTAGTTATACTGTAAACGTGGAATATTATGCGTGGGGGAAATTTACGCTTATTACGCGGAGTTGGGTCGTCCGGGTAAATTTCCCCCACGCGTATGGTTTCGTCGATAGTGTAAGGAACAACAACTCTGATAGATATTGGTACGTGTGTGTGATGTCCTCCTGTAATATTGCTTTGTTTACGTATTACTAATTAACGTACATTGTCTTGTAATGGTAAAAAATAAAAACAATGACAACTGAAATAAACTACTTGATAAATTTAAGGTTTTAATGAACAACAAATTTGAAAATATATATATAAAGGCACAGAGAAAGTCATGAATAAACCCGGGTACATTGAGGTCCGGTACACGTCACTCACACACATGTCTACGGGACACAAACAGCTAGTAATCGTGTGCAACGATCCCTACACAGGTAAATGCCCCAGTCATCATGGTAGAGTCATTAACTGCACTCGATGAGTTACGATAACTTTCGAAAAGTTTATGGTTTTATCATTGTTATTTGGAAAACGGGTTTGTTTTGACTAAATAGCACTCACCTGTTTGATCCCAGTTGATTACGAGATCAGCTGGTATAAGACACACACATACACAGAATACAGTTCACCTTTATTTGCATCTGTCCAATGACCAGTTGGTACGTATACGTAACATGTACTCAGTAGATACTAGTATTTTTACCTGTAAACATTTTGTAAAGTAAGGGAGATAACTATGCAGAGTAAACATCGGTCTACTACGACCACGTAAATTACCCCGGCGCGTATAGTTTTGACCTTCAAATCGCGTAATTTTCACCCAGAGTAAATAACCACGTTTACAGTATGGGGGGAATTGTAGTGAAACTAGGCACATTAACTGAAGTTGTTTTGTGGAAACTGTTATCATGTATACCTTAGAGGAAGTAAATGTAACGGGGAGGTTACTGTTATCATGTATACCTTAGAGGAAGTAAATGTAACGGGGAGGTTACTGTTATCATGTATACCTTAGAGGAAGTAAATGTAACGGGGAGGTTACTGTTAT